TGGTTGCGCCAGATCTTATTTAGGGGCTTCATAGCAAAGGGGATGAATACATATGCACGCACCACTTTTTTCCGTTATTTATTTTTTATAATTTTTTGAAACAAGTTATTTTTTAAATTTCACTTCACCAATTTGGACTATTTTGTGTATGTCCATTACATGAAATCCAAATAAAAATCCATTTAAATTACAGGTTGTAATCTATCCTGATGCCTAGACTCTTTACCCTGCCTTCATGTACATAACTACCTCAGATAGCTCATACCCCTGCACATTGCTCTGGTACTGTTATCCCTGTATATATCTTAATTCCTGTGTATTTTATTCCTCTTGTGTTACTATATTATTTACTCTGCATCGTTGGGAAGGGCTTGTAAACAAGCATTTCACTGTTAAGTCTACACCAGTTGTATTCGGCGCATGTGACAAATACAATTTATTTTGAGTGTGCCTTTTAGAAGTATAAATAATACCCATAGAAAATGCACCTTTACAGGTGCGTTTACACAGGCAGCCCCATTCTGATCTTTCTTTTCACAAAAGATCAGAATTGTGCTGCCTGTGTAAATTCCGCCTATTTTAGACACCCCAAGTAAAAGTTGGACAGCATTTTTGCCATTCCTCAAAAACCATCTAAAATAAAACTGATTCCTGATTTCTTTCAACCCATTTGGCCTCAATCACATAAAATAAAAATACAATTGTGCATATCTTTCCCATTCATTTTGGATTGAGACCAACATATTAGGGTAGCTCTAATGCAGTGATAAAAGGGAAGCGATAGATTAGAGTACACAATTTGAATTTGGTGATTTATCCCATGTAAAGTGAGATAAACAATGGATTGTTTATTATTGCACTCTGACAGTGAACATCTGCCATGCCATGTCACTTGGTCAAGTCATCCAGCAGGTGGTGCCTCTGCACTGAGTTCAGACCTCCTTCTGCATCACTAGTGAGTTTCCACCACATTCAAACTCTCTCTCCCTGAAGTGCCATACAACACTGCCTACCAGTCTGTGCTGTTACCTAAGGTATTATCTTATGATAGTACAGTAAGACATAGGCTTATATAACAGAATGTCCTGTTCCATACCCAAAAGGCCATTACATGGCAAAAGGTCATATTTCATATTGTTAGAGCTGTTTTTAGCAGCATGACATAGTTTTAAATCATTTTTTGCGATTCCTTAGACTTCAAGATTTTAACCCATAGGCCTAAAGCCAGACATACTTTCAAATACTTTTAGATTTACTTTCACTGGTCAATATGATGGGACGTGCTTTATGCTGCTATTCAAAACTTTGAATGTGATTGAAATCTTACATTGTGTATTGGACTCCTGCTGACTGGGCGAGGAGTTGAACGCAGACTGATTATGATTGTGCAAGACCAAGACCATTCAAAACCATTAAGACCAAGATTACAACCAGAAATCTACTCTTACTCAGTCTGCTAAGTGCTCTATTTTCATTCAAGTATTAATCGGACCAAACACATGCTCAAGGTTATTTTTCATGATCTCTATTTAGGCTCCATTCACATGGTCATTCAGTCCTTCACATCCAGCCAATTTAACACCCACTTGCTTTTGACTCACACTCACAGTTTTTTGACTCATAGTTACTTTTTAATTTTTAAAATACTATTTGCACTGACTAAATTGTACCAATTGGATGTATGCTTTAAACAAACAACGTGAACGTTTGCTTGTAGGAGCAATGGCCGGTTACGTCAGGCTATATCCATGAGGGTAATCCCGAAGCCACAGAGCCTGAGAGTAGTGATATATTGTTTTTTTTCAGATGTTGTAACAATGTACAAGCGCAACTTGCAGGCTAAGAACAGGGTTTTACCCTTTGGACCCATTTCCCATCAGATAGAGGAGCAATAAGGATAACGTAATCCTGCCACAATATAAAGACCATCATGTTTATTGGCAGTGATCCTATTGCAAACTGAACTGAAGACACAGCTAGCAGGACAGAGCAGATGAAAGGAAAGTGTGACGGATATTTTAAGTGATACAGTGAGCTAGGAGATAGGGAGAGAGAAAGGGTCAGGCTTTTTGGATATAAGAGAACATTTAGAAGTTGACAACTCCCATGAGAAGTTCACAATTTCATGTAAACTGTCTATGAGAAAAATGAATAAATGGTGCATAGCTTCACTGCTGTGTGTGCTTTATGAGCATATACAGGACATTCAGAAGTATTCACACCCCTTAACTTTTTCCACATTTTGTTGTGTTACAAAGTGGGATACAAATTGTAATCTTTTTGTCAACGATCTACACAAAATACTCTGTAATGTCAGTGGAAGAGAAATTCTAACATTTGTAAAAACTTTATGAAAAATAAAACACTAATATATCTTGATTAGATAAGTATTCAACCCCCTGAGTCAATACATGTTAGAATCACCTTTGGCAGCGATTACAGCTGTGAGTCTTTCTGGGTAAGTCTCTAAGAGCTTTCCACACCTGGATTGTGCAACATTTGCCCATTTATTATTTTCAAAATGATTCAAGCTCTGTCAAATTGGTTGTTGATAATTGCTAGACAACCATTTTACATTTTAGTCATTTAGCAGACGCTCTTATCCAGAGCGACTTACAGTTAGTGAGTGCATACATTATTATTTTTTATAATTTTTTCATACTGGTCCCCCGTGGGCATCAAACCCACAACCCTGGCGTTGCAAACGCCATGCTCTACCAACTGAGCTACATCCCTGCCGGCCATTCCCTCCCCTACCCTGGACGACGCTGGGCCAATTGTGCACCGCCCCATGGGTCTCCCGGTCGCGGCCGGCTACGACAGAGCCTGGATTCGAACCAGGATCTCTAGTGGCACAGCTAGCACTGCAATGCAGTGCCTTAGACCACTGTGCCACTCTGTGACAAGTTTTCAGGTCTTGCCATAGATTTTCAAGCAGATTTAAATCAAATCTATAACTAGGCCACTAAGGAACATTCAATGTAGATTTGGCCTTGTGTTTTAGGTTATTGTCCTGCTGAAAGGTGAATTAATCTCCCAGTGTCTGGTGGAAAGCAGACTGAACCAGGTTTTCATCTAGGATTTTGCCTGTGCTTAACTCCATTCCGTTTCTTTTGTATCCTGAAAAACTCCCCAGTTCTTAATGATTACAAGCATACCCATAACATATGAAAGTATGAAGAGTGGTACTCAGTAATGTGTTGGATTGGATTTGCCCCAAACATAACACTTTGTATTCAGGACAAAAAGTGAATTGCTTTGCTACATTCTTTGCAGTATTACTTTGCCTTGCTGCAAACAGGATGCATGTTTTGGAATATTTTTATTCTGTACAGGCTTCCTTCTTTTCACTCTGTCAATTAGGTTAGTATTGTGGAGTAACTACAATGCTGTTGATCCATCTTCAGTTTTCTCCTATCACAGCCATTCAACTCGATAACTTTTTTAATGTTACAATTGGCCTCATGGTGAAATCTCTGAGCAGTTTCCTTCCTCTCCTGCAACTGAGTTAGGAAGGATGCCTGTATCTCCTGGAGTGACTGGGTGTATTGATACACCATCCAAAGTGTAATTAATAACTTCACCATGCTCAAAGGGATATTAAATGTCTGCTTTTTTTTTACCCATCTACCAATAGGTGCCCTTCTTTGTGAGGTATTGGAAAACCTCCCTGGTCTTTAATTCACTGTTCGACTGAGGGACCTTACAGATAAGTATATGTGGTGGGGTACAGAGATGAGGTAGTCATTAAACAATCTTGTTAAACACTATTATTGCACACAATGAGTCCATGCAACTTATTATATTACTTGTTAAGCGCATTTTTACTCCTGAACTTATTTAGGCTTGCCATAACAAAGGGGTTGAATACTTATTGACTCAAGCCATTTAATTGTTTATTAATTTGTAAACATTTCGAAAAACGTTATTCCACTTTGACATTATGGGGTAGACCAGTGACAACAAATCTGAATTGAATCCATTTCAAATTCAGGCTGTAACACAACAAAATGTGGCAAAAGTCAAGGGGTGTGAATACTTTCTGAAGACACAGTAGATGTGAGAGAAATAGCTCTGTCACTATTGAGATGTATAGACTAATAGCCTTGCCAAAAGCATCTGCCATCAACTTTCTAATACCATTCCGAAGGCTTTCTGATTTACATTTTGAGAACCGAAACAGAACAATAAGTATCAGCATTTGACAAAGTGAGATTTAAATAGATTTGTCTTGCGCATTCAAACACAGAGACTGGCAGTTCATGACTGCAATTCGTTTTTGTGGATTGTTTTTTTCTTCCCTGTAGAGCCACTATTTCAGACTGGGGTCTTTGCATGTGTCATAATTGCAGCTAAAATGGGAACAAGTTTGAGCATATTTTAGAAAAGAAGAAAGAAAAATGTACCCATGTTTTGTTTTTGTTTTATTTATGCCTGTGCTGCAATTCTAGGCATTAGTCATAAGCCCAGCTGAATCACAGTAATAACAACAGGTGGTGCCTTCCAAATATATCTGGAAATTAATGCAGAAACTTCCAGGAGATCTACATCAAAATATTTGATGAATTGCGAGAGGATATAAGGGCATGTTTTTTCTGTTCAGATTTGAAGGAATTGATTGATTAAAAGTTATTTCTATGAAAAAAGAAAGATTCAATTATAAAAGCATTCTTTCATTTTCATGGGGATTGTTTGAAATGGATAAATGGTATCATAGTGTGTTGATTACTTTTATAAATTAACAAACAACACAGAAACCGTGTCAAAGGTTACCCTCATTCCCCCTGTCAATCTGCTATCAAACACAACAAGAGGAAGGAAAGTATCAACTTTCCATCCATCCATCCATGAAGAATGTTATTTATTTTCTACAGTCAAACTTGCCTCAGTTGTCAGTCTTTCGTTGCCAATCAAATCTCCTCTTTACATACTGGCCAATGGGGTGATGGCCATGGGGTTGATGATTGGTTGTGCTGGGTTGGAGTTTAAACCTTTGAACTCAGAACAAGAGCAGCGAGATACAGTAGAGACACACGGTCATCTGGAACAGAGCTCCTTCACAACAAAGGAAACGGACCATTTTACTGGATTTGTCTTATTTTGGGGAGTTTTTTCCTGTGCCATCCTAGTACTGAAATTATGGACCACTATTCAGACCAGGTAACACGGCCTATATGTTCGTTTCTGTGTTTTAGTATCTCCTGGATAAGTAGTTTAGCAGTTAATGTTATTAGGGCAGCCAACGTTATATGTACCATCGAACAAAGTTCTGAAGAGGCAATAGATCTACCTGCCAGTGATCGAGTGAGTGTGTAGGTGTGGGTGTTTACTTTTGTGTGGCCTACATAGTCTTACAATCTTCCAATGTCAAATTTGTCAAATCTAGATAAATGAAATTGAATTGAACTCTTTACTGTATTGAATGGCATAGTAAAACTGATTAAAAAGTCAGATAGGAGTGTCATGAGATAATGGCAATAAAAAGCATTACTAGTCCTGGGTATTATTGCTTTTATAGCCTTCCTATAAGGATCGCTGTATGTTATCTCTCATTTGTAAACAGATTAACATGATGTCATTGAGTGGCCTGTTCTGTTTCCAGGGTTGCGATGGGATTGAGCTGCTTGATTTGCTGTTTGATCAGAACGATGGCATCCTCCGTCACGAGGAGATGGGACACCATGGGAACCATTCCTGGCCTATTCACAAGCCAAACGTGAGTGGAGTGAAAGCATTCACTCTTTGATGTTACCCTGCCGTGTTTTTACATTTTCACCTTGGCGGTGTCTACTACGTGATTCCCATGTCTAGCCTGCCTTTCTCAACCACTCTCTCCATTATGTCTGTACAGTAATTATCACATTTGGTGTGTTATTTGGCAGATGCTGCGTCCAACAAAGCTACAGGGCGAGGACTTCCTGATCGGCCTCCTGAGTGTCAGTGCCTCGGTGTCGGGGTCGCCCCTGTGGTCTCCCTCTCCCAGTGACAGTGGAATCAGTGAGGACCCCCACTCCGATCAGATGGACAGCCCCCAGCGCCCTGAGAGCCCTCCGACAGAGCCCCATTTCCTCCCCCCTCAGCCACACACCAGGGCCGCCCTGGACACCGACTTCTCCATTGATATCAGTAAGACATTTATGGCACACATTAGCACAGAAAGTATACAAATATATAGAGCATTTAATGTTATTTATTATATAGAAGTGACACAGACAAAATTTGCTACGTTACTTCATGTTAGATGTGTGATTAGTATTGTTATGTCAACATTAGAACAGAAGCTCCTCCTTTGAAAGCAACACGTTTTTCGTTTGTATTCATTGGGCTAATCCTGGCTTTGTCTCAGTATCAACACAAACACAGACAAATGATGGCCTTACGTCTGGTCACATCCCGTCTCTCTGTGTGGTTACAGATGGCTGGGACTCAGGCTTCTACCCAGGAAGGACTGGGGGGACAAAGTGTTCCTCTGATGTACACAAAACCCAGCTGACCTGTAACTTTCCCCTCACTGTCAAGGACCTACTGCTCTCTGGCACATCTGAGCCGGTGAGTGATGATGAAGGGTATGTGTGTGTGTGCGTGCGTGCTAGCGTACAAGTATGTATGTGTGCGTGCTTGGGCTTGTTTGTATGTGGGTGAGTGTGTTGAAGTGGAGAGGAACAGGTAAAAGGGATGAATTCATTCTAAAATATTCAGCGGAGCACATGAAGAAACAGGTTAACTTAAAAGAGACAGTCGCAGCAGGGCATGGGTTCAGGACGGTAATGTAATTGGTGTGAGGAAAGCATGAAATGAGAGGGATGGGCTGTGCTGCCTGCCTTGCCTCTCTGCACTCCTTCCACTCACTCTGAAAAACCCATTGCTGCTCAGGCCACTGGTTGTAATGCTTCACATATTACGTACTGTATTAACATTCCTGTCTCACTTCCAGCCCACACAGCAGTCCCAGCAGTCCTTCCGAGAGTTGATTCTCAATGAGGATGAGAAGAAACTGCTGGCCAAGGAGGGGATGACTCTGCCTAGCCAACTACCCCTCACCAAGGTAAAACTTTTTTGCAGACTTTTGCAGCTTCACAGAACAACTTATGGCTCTTGAGGATATCAAAAGCGCGTAAATACACTAAATATTTACTTCCTTTGTCTGTTTCCATTAGTATGAGGAGAGGATTCTGAAGAAAATTCGCAGAAAGATCCGGAACAAGCAGTCGGCCCAAGAGAGCAGGAAGAAGAAAAAGGAATATATTGATGGTCTCGAGAGCAGGTACTGACAATAGGCACTAAATAAATGGAAAAGGTAGGGACTCACAGGCCTAAAGTCAAAGTAGAAGTGTCCAACTCTGACTACAACTGACAAAAATTTATAAAGCACTTCTACAAACTAACAAGATATTTGGAACACGTCACAGGCAATGTTCCCTATAAGCTGCGCTCGTGTGCAGGCCACGCAGAAAAATATCAGCCCGCGCAGAGAAGCACGAGATTGAACTTCACTCAACTTTCTAGAATTTTCCCTGTTAGTTAACACTATCAGCGTTTCCCTTTACTGTGGGAATTGTGATTGAATCAATGCAATATTAGCCACTACCAATGCAACATACCGAAACAAAACGAAGTATGCAAGACTTAGTATGCAAAACTAAATATGCAAGAGTTGTTGTAGCCAGAACGCATCGGAGTAGGATTCTACCCAGACCTGTGCGGCATAACCAATCAGAGCTGCAGTAGGCCTATATGCAAATAGACCGTTGCCATATATGGATCTGTGCCATTCACTTTGAACTGGACTGTGTTTACACCATGAGCGGTCGTGAGTAGATAAGCTTGTTTTGAGATCAAAGTGAGAGCTGCATGTAGCCACCTGTGCACGTGTTCATATCCTTTGCCAGTTAGTGAGTTATTAGCCCAGTTGTAGATCATTTGTAGTCAGCAATGGGGGAGTGATTGCTTCCTACAAGAGCACAAAACGTGTACATTTCTAGACGTCTTTGAAAAGCAAGTCATGAAAATAGCTTTTTTTTGTCTCAAAGGGGCAGTGTTGTATTTTGAGATAGGCTTGAATAAGCTAAGTAGCCAATAAACAGAGGGTAGCATAATTAGTTTGATTCTCTGTAATAATGGTATGGGACTAATAATGCATTTTATTTTGTAAAGTGGTTTCTTGCATTAAACAACACAACAACATTTTCAGTCACCTCCTTGTCTGAAGGACAAGTAGATAAACAGGTTAATGTCAGGCCCTGCATGATTTTTTCAAAAGTCTCATGGAATGTAGGCCTACAATGAACACCACACATTGGCTGCTACTGTAGGCTGAGTGATAGAACAGTTATTTCCATGTTAAAATGTTATGGGATGCATTCTCTCCATTGTTTTTGATGGTAGGTCACTCTGTTAGGCCTACATTATGATCAAATAACCACAGTAGCCTACTTGGCCACTGTTAAAACTGTAACTTAAAGCGGGTACAGCCTCATTGTTCACAGTAAACAAACGTTGGAAGTTGCACCGAATTTTCACAACTTTCAAGTTTGCCCTCAGCAGACCTGAAATTTGCTCAGTGCTGAAAAAAATTAGAGGTAACATTGGTCACAACGTGCTGAGCACAGAAAGTTTAAGAAACAGTGTGTGAGTGTTGTGGTGCAGAGAAACTGCATAGGGCCCATTGTGTAATTCAGTGTCCTTGAGTGTCACAGTACGATTTGATTATACCAAAGTGTTTCTCAGCATGCTGGTGAGTGATACTGTAGCAGGCTGGTGTTTTTCTTGGACTGATCGAGCAGCAGCAGCTTGTCAGTCTCATCTAGGAAATTCCCTTGTTGTTCCTCTTCCAGGATGACTGCCTGCAACACACACAACCAGGAGCTGCAGAGGAAGGTGTTCCAGCTGGAGAAATGCAACACGTGAGGGACCTCCACACTAATCTGCTCTCCCTGCTCTGTTTCTGCCTCTGTACACCCGGTGGCAACATTTGCTAATTGAGCCTCTGTGTCTCCCAGGTCTCTGATGGAGCAGCTGCGTAGGCTGCAGACTCTGGTAATGAACGGCTCCAAAAAGGCCGCCCAGACTGGGACCTGTGTCCTGGTAAGCAGAAGTGTCACTTTTAGAAACAGTTTTACTAGATCAGCTCATACACCATATGAGATTAGAGAGAAACAGACAGGTGGAGAGGTGGAAAGATGCAACCACCTCACTCTTTCCCATTTATCCAGGGGATACAGTTACTATTAGAAGTTATAACATTAGAATTATCGACAGCGAGAATGAATGGTGCTAGTCAAGGAACAATTGAGGGCTGGACAAATATACCTGACTCTGTTACGAACAATCTCAGCTAAAGCCCCACACATACAAACCAATATATATACAGCTCTGGAAGAAATTAAGAGACCACTGCAAAATTATCAGTTTCTCTGGTTTTACTATTTATAGGTATGTGTTTGGGTAAAAATAACATTTTTGTTTTATTCTATAAACTACTGACAACATTTCTTCCAAATAAAAATATTGTCATTTAGAGCATTTATTTGCAGAAAATGACAACTGGTCAAAATAACAAAAAAGATGCAGTGTTGTCAGACCTCGAATAATGCAAATAAAATAAGTTCATGTTCATTTTTAAACAACACAATACTAATGTTTTAACTTAGGAAGAGTTCAGAAATCAATATTTGGTGGAATAACACTAATTTTCAATCACAGCTTTCATGCGTCTTGGCATGCTCTCCACCAGTCTTTCACATTGATGTTGGGTGACTTTATGCCACTCCTGGCGCAAAAATTCAAGTAGCTCGGCTTTGTTTGATGGCTTGTGACCATACATCTTCCTCTTGATCACATTCCAGAAGTTTTCAATGGGGTTCAGGTCTGGAGATTGGGCTGGCCATGACAGGGTCTTGATCTGGTGGTCCTCCATCAACACCTTGATTGACCTGGCTGTGTGGCATGGTGCATTGTCCTGCTGGAAAAAACAATCCTCAGAGTTGGGGAACAATGTCAGAGCAAAAGGAAGCAAGTTTTCTTCCAGGACAACCTTGTACATGGCTTGATTCATGCGTCCTTCACAAAGACAAATCTGCCTGATTCCAGCCTTGCTGAAGCACCCCCAGATCATCACCGATCCTCCACCAAATTTCACAGTGGGTGCGAGACACTGTGGCTTGTAGGCCTCTCCAGGTCTCCGTCTAACCATTAGACGACCAGGTGTTGGGCAAAGCTGAAAATTAGACTAATCAGAGAAGATGACCTTACTCCAGTCCTCTACGGTCCAATCCTTATGGTCTTTTGCAAACCTCAGCCTGGCTCTTCTTTGCTTCTCATTGATGAAGGGCTTTTTTCTAGCTTTGCACGACTTCAGCCCTGCCCCTAGGAGCCTGTTTCGAACCGTCCTCGCCGTGCACTTCACCCCAGCTGCCGTTTGCCATTCTTTTTGTAGGTCACTTGATGTCATCCTACGGTTGTTGAGTGACATTCGAATGAGTTGGCGGTCATCCCGGTCAGTAGAGAGTCGTTTTCACCCTCTGCCGGTCTGTAGCTTTGTTGTCCCCAATGTCTGCTTCTTGAACTTGTTCTTATGAACCGCCGTAATTGACATTTTAAGGATGGAAGCAACCTGACACTCACTGTATCCCTCTGCCAGTATAGCCAGAATGGAACCCTTCTTTTCCTCACTCAAAACTTTCCTTTTCAACTCCTTTGGCATGGTCAATAGTTATTTTTTGATTAATATTACTTTTGAGGTACTATTAGCACTGTTTTTGCCATCCAGCTGGTCCTATTGCAAGAGGATAGTGATGACCACAGCAGTGGTTTTTATACTTTTCCTCGTTAAATAAGATTTGATTCAGGTGATCACCTAATCAGTACCTAATTCAGTAGAATGAGGTGTGCCTGTGTTGGAATTCAACAGACACTGGAATGGAATGGCTGTCATACATGTAGAGATGCTGATTTAAGAAACATTTGCAGTGGTCTCTTAATTTTTTCCAGAGCTGTGTGTGTGTATGTATATGTATATATATATATATATATATATATATTTAGACTATTGTTACTTTCTTTGCTTTCAGGCCCACAGGGAAGGGGTGGTATGGGAGGAGTATAAGGGGAGACAGGGGATGGATGGGTGGGAGGGGAACTGATAAGGCGGGGTGATGGGATACATGGTGTCCGGATGGGGAGGGAGGATGTGGGCGGGTGGATGGGGACTGAGGGGGGGAATGGGTTGGGGTTACCTTTGTATGCATTTATTTGATTGTTTTGTACTTGTAACCCCCCCCCCGCCAGACATATAGACTGAAATATAGACACAGAGAGATACACTCCAGAGAGACGCACCATTGATTCACCTGTCTATAATATAATTGGACAGATCAACTAAAACCACATCAGTGCCAGTGGAAATTAGACTTTGTAAATCCAAATATGAATATGAATGAAGTTGTATCTCTTCTAATGCCTTGTACTTTAGGAAAATGCAGAAATGTAAATAATATGGATTGTGTGTTCACACCTGGTGACTTTGATGCACTGTACTGGGATTAGCTGAACAGCTTTGAACAACAGTTACTGAAGAGTGTGTCTTCAACTCTGGAGCTCAACTGAGGATTGGAAGCTCCCCCAAACTGCTAAACCTTGTTGACTGTGGCAAAGTACAAATGATGAGATTTTCACCTTTCCCCAGGTGCTGCTCCTGTCCTTCTCCCTCATCCTCTTCCCTAACCTGAAACCCTTCTCCGAGCCCAAGGTCAGCCAAGGAGGGGACTTCAGCCCAGTGAGGGGTGAGTCAGCCTCCCGCACCGCCCGGACAAATCTACCTCCTGCTTCACATCACAGCTTAAGAGCTGATTAGACTAGAGCTCCTCTCACTCATAGTGCCAGATGCTGCTACGGCTCCGCTGCTAAAACAACTCACCTAAAGAGCACGACAGCTCACCAGGACCCCACATTTCAGATCAAAGACAGCTGGCAACCTTCAGCACAGAGAACATGTATTATTAAGCCCTATTCTCATCAGCTTGTCTGACTAACAATCTCCTTTCAACAGTTGTACACTCTTAGAAAAAGTGGTGCTGGCCTCCTGAGTGGCGCAGTGGTCTAAGGCACTGCATCGCAGTGCTTGAGGCGTCACTACAGCCCCGGGTTCGATCCCAGGCTGTGTCACAGCCGGCTGTGACCGGGAGACCAATGAGGCAGCGTACAATTGTCCCAGCGTCGTCCGGGTTAGGGGAGGGTTTGGCCAGCTGGGATTTCCTTGTCCCATCACGCTCTAGCGACTCCTTGTGGCGGGCCGGGCACCTGCAAGCTGACTCCGGTCGCCAGCTGTACGGTGTTTCCTCCGACACATTGGTGTGGCTGGTTTCCGGGTGAAGCAAGCAGTGTGTCAAGAAGCAGACCTTCGCCTCTCCTGAGTCCGTACGGGAGTTTCAGCGATGGGACAAGACTGTAACTACCAATTGATATCATGAAATTGGGGAGAAAAAGGGGTAAAAAGTAAAAAATAAATAAAGGTGCAATCTAGAACCTTAAGGGGTTCTTTGGCTGTCCCCATAGGAGAACCCTTTTTGGTTGCAGGTAGAATCCTTTCTGCTTCCATGTAGAACCCTCTGTAGAAAGGGTTCTACATGGAAGCAAAAAGGATTCTACCTGCAACCAAAAAGGGTTCTCCTATGGGGAAAGCATACGTTTTTTCTAAGAGTATAGGAACTGTTGGATACAATATGAAAGGGACTTCAACGATATCTAATGGCCTCATCATGTTTTAAGATTGTGAATTACTTCAATGTAATTACTCATCTTAACTGACGGTTCGTCAGCTCTGTGAGTGGTTAATTGTACAACCAAGAGCCAAGGTACAAGTTTTTTTAAAGGCGGCTTACAGTCTAACAACTTAAAGTTGGACTGGGGATGTATGTGTGACATTAGTTCACCATTTAATGACTGGATCAATATGTGTTGCGCTGTTTACTCACCTGTAACCTCTGTCCCTCTCGCTCCTGCAGTGCAGTCACGGTCCCTGCACAACCTCCAGTCCTCCAGAGTGCTGCATGTCATTGACCAGCCGTACCACACTGCAGACGACGAGCCCAAGTCTTCGCACCACCATTTCACAGGAGACCAGGGGGTAAATGAGATGACCTCTCTGCTGGGTAAGCTGGGCACCAGTCACGGCAGCCAGGGGCTGTCCAATTTCGACCCCATGTCTCACAACAATAGCCTGGATGAGGAAGCCCATTTCCACGGGGACCCCATTACCGGCCATATAGCTACAGTGACCTTGAATCCACACCGCAGAGCCACAATACGCCCACATGCTGATGATATGTGATTGGATAGAGTATTCCCTGCAGGATTCCTCTGCTCTGCTCCCATCTCCACACAATTCATATGGTGAAACATAGAGTAGCACATACCTAAGGCTCTTGTTTACACTGCGAGTTAGGGTAATAAGAAATACGTTATTCCTGCTTTTGCCTCTTATATTTTAGGTATATGCTTTTTTCTTGTTTGTTATACTGTTTTGTATTGTTTTAAGGATGTTTTCTGACTTGATCTGGATTTCTGTAAAATTGCTTTTTAAGATGAATTGAGCATCTCTTGCCCCTCCACGACTGTTTTAACATTGACAGTGTAGATTTGTGTATTTTGAGACAGTCAGTAATTATTGTTTTTCATAACTGTGATGGTGTGTACAACTTTGAGCTTTACAAATAATTTTGAGGATAATTTTGCATGTATACTACGAAACAATAACTTTATTGACAATCTTGCTACACATTAATAAAACCGTCTCAAATAAACTTTAGAATGTTTAAGTGCTGTCTGCATGTCTGAGTAGTTTCATTAAATTCAGTAGGTCATTCCTTTAACCTCTAAAAGGGGGGGGGGGTTGTTTAAGATGGTCATACCATGGATCATTTAGCTATTTGATTTAGGTATAATTTGATCAAATATAGAATTTGGCCTTTACTACTTTAGCCAATAAAAACGCATTGAATAACACATTCATAAATGGCAAAAAAAGACAGTAAAAAAATTAATCATAAGGTTTTGAAGTGTCTGTCCTATATCTAGGAGATATAAGAAAGCTCAGGATTTGTTTTAGTTTTTTGGGATACATATTGTTGGCACAAAACTGCCTCCATACCTCCATTAGTTTCTATGGGTTACCTTCAGACGAGTCCCATGACACTTGTGGGGGTCGTAGAGCAAAACGGAGAACACCATCGTGTTTGTGAGAGTGGTCATAATAGTTTGTAGACCAAACGTTTGTAAGACGTTTTCGGGATGTCCCATGGTCTGACAAACACCGCAGATACGGTGGATTGAGACGCAGCCCATGCAAAAAACCTAGCTTAAACTGACAGATTTTTATGGGGATTTTTATTGTTATGTTACTTAGATTGACGCATTGGTGCGTCAATAGACTCTTAAGGATTTAATATTTCAAAAGTGGTTCAAGAGAAAAAGTACAAGTTCTATGGTGCCTGAAAAGCTGACACAATCTAAATATCCCAGTGGCATGTTTCCAGTGGATTTGATGTCTGAAACGACAGGGATTTACACAGAGAGAATGAGACAAAGTGAACTAGGTCAAAGGTATTGCAGAGGTACGATAACCTTCCACTGACAAAATACACAAATCAATGCTCTTGCTCAATGCTCTATCAAACCATGACATCCCCGCAGCCGGAGTTTGTTTACTTGTCTGTGAGTGTGACACTCCTAGTCCACCCCCGCCTCATTGGCTTGTCAATAGAACCGCAGAACCCAAAAAGTACACCATCAGCGAGTGAGTGAATAAAAGTGTTCTCGCTCCAGTGCTTCTTGGTCCCCAATTTGATCTAACATTTCATATGAAATTCTGACAGTCTGGCTAGTCTGACACTCAACATCACAGGGTTTGGGGATAGGCTGGAGAAGTGGAGGTGCTATTCTGTTTCAAATGTATTGTGTCTAGTTGACGAATAGCTAGTGAGTCAGCACAAATGACAAAGACACTATACCAACCTTCATAACAATTGTGTTCATTTAACCAAGGTTGACATAAATGACAGGTGTCTGGACGTTGTGTGTGTGTGTATGAGTGTGCAGGCATATATGTGTGTATTTGGGAGGGAGTGTTATGAGGTACTGTAGGAGTTTGTGTGTTATGAGGTAAGAGTTTGTGTGTGTGTGTGTGTGTGTGCATCTGCTTGTCTGTAAGACTCTCTTTCCATGTGGGAGGGGGTGTTATGAGGTTTGTTGATCCACAGTGGTCTTTCATCCCGACCCGGTGGGGAAGGTGGCTTGTTTGTGTCGATCCTTATCTGCTATGGTGCCTCTGGCCTCTCAGTCTTTAATCATGGGGAGAGTGGCTCAGCGACCAGCGTCTTTAATCAGTTTCTCTGTGCCCCACTTTGATTGTCCTTCTCCCACTGGCCCCGAGTTCTCCACCCACGGGTTGAATCCCACTAAGTCAGACCCTGAGAGAGGGACACGAAAAGATGAAGGACACAGTCAAAGAGTTGTCCTCGTTTTCACTTGTTTAAAGGGCCAATCCGGGATTGGTACATCCATTTTTGGACTTTTAAATTAATGATACCATTGATTATTGAGGAATATAACTTATAAATGCCTTATGAGCTCATTTCAACTGTCTTACCCCATCAGGACCCAAAATATAAGCTCCATCTAAACACTGTGTAGCTTGAAAACATGTTTCTTATCTCATGGATGGTCAGTCCTTGCATGAATACTGTAGCTCCTTACATCTATATCTCTGTCTATGAAAACAGCTGTTTACTTTAGATTTTTTAAAATCCCGGATTGCTCCTTTAATCCTGTTTATGGCTTTTCTGTTTTGAAGTGCTGACCCAGATAAACTCATGAAAAACTCTTGAGTGGTTTAAACTTTCTTTTTTGATCATTTGTTTTTGAATGAGAGTCACAAAAAGAATGGTTCCATTTGTGATTTTGAATATTTTCTAAGTTGAAGAATAATAGTGAAGACATCAAAACTATGAAATAACACATATGGAATCATGTAGTAACCAAAAAAGTGTTAAACAAATCCAAATATATTTTATATTTGAGATTCTTTAAATAGCCACTCTTTGCCTTGATGACAGCTTTGCACACTCTTGACATTCTCTCAACCAGCTTCATGAGGAATGCTTTTCCAACAGTCCTGAAGGAGTTCCCACGTATGCTGAGCATTTGTTGGCTGTTTTTCCTTCACTCTGCAGTCCAACTCATCCCAAACCATCTCAATTGGGTTGAAGTCGGGTGATTTGGTCATCTGATGCAGCACTCCATCACTCTCCTTGGTCAAATTGCCCTTACACAGCCTGGAGGTGTGTTTTGGGTCATTGTCCTGTTGAAAAACAAATGATAGTCCCACTAAGCGCAAACCAGATGGGATGGTGTATCGCTGCAGAATGCTGTGGTAGCCATGCTGGTTAAGTGTGCCTTGAATTCTAAACAAATCACAGACAGTGTCACCAGCAAAGCACCCCCACACCATCGCACCTCGTCCTCCATGCTTCACGGTGGGAACCACACATGCGGAGATCAGCCGTTCACCTACTCTGCGTCTCACAAAGACACAGCGGTTGGAACCAAAAATCTCTAATTAGGACTCATCAGACCAAAGGACAGATTTCCACCGGTCTAATGTCCATCGTGTTTCTTGGCCCAAGCAATTCTCTTCTTCTTATTGGTGTCCTATAGTACTGGTTTATTTGCAGCAATTCGACCATGAAGGCCTGATTCATGCAGTCTCCTCTGAACAGTTGATGTTGAGATATGTCTGTTACTTGAACACTGTAAAGCATTTATTTGGGCTGCAATCTGAGGTGCAGTTAACTCTAATGAACTTATCCTCTGCAGCAGCGGTAACTCTGGGTCTTCCTTTCCCGTGGCGGTCCTCATGAGAGCCAGTTTCATCATAGTGCTTGATGGTTTTTGTGACTGCACTTGAAGAAACGTTCAAAGTTTTTGAAATGTTCCAGATTGACTGACCTTCATGTCTTAAAGTAATGATGGACTGTCGTTTCTCATTGCTTATTTGTGCTGTTCTTGCCATAATATGGACTTGGTCTTTTACCAAATAGGGCTATCTTCTGTATATCACCCATACCTTGTCACAACACAACTGATTGGCTCAAACGCATTAAGAAGGAAAGAAATTCCACATATTAACTTTAAACAAAGCACATCTGTTAATTAAAATGCATTCCAGGTGACTACCTCATGAAGCTGGATGAGAGAATGCCAAGAGGAAAAGGGTGGCTACTTTGAAAATAAAATATATTTTGATTTGTTTAAGACTTTTTTGGTTACTACATGATTCCATATGTGTTATTTCATAGTTTTGATGTCTTCACTATTATTCTACAATGTAGAAATAGTAAAAATAAAGAAAAACCCTTGAATGAGTAGGTGTGTCCAAACATTTGACTGGTACTGTATGTAAAATAACTAATCACTGAACGGGTGGACAGTTCGAGATATACAATAAAGAGATTAAACCCGTCTGCAGGTTTATCCAACCTCACAGGTGAGTTAATCTAGGTATTTGTTAGGATTAATCTGTGCCGTGGCCTTAGTGTGATGTTACAGCTGCACTATCCTTTGTCTGCTGACATAACCCCTTATAAAATGTAAATGTCTGGCCATCTGTGCAATACTATAGGCTGTGCAAATGCCAATCACTAGGTACCGGCTGTCTATTCCTAGAAGTTCCTACCTATTCGAGGGTAAGAAATGTTCAATTTGGCTCTGACATGACTCATTATTAGGTTTTTACATGATAATTCAAACCAATTTAGTTTCATTAATTTAATTTTTTACATAATAAACGGCTGGCAATGCTGTGCTGTCACTATATGACGTAATGCACATGTTAACCTGTGAGCCTGAGAATGTGCCTATGCGTTCTACAGAATTTTAGCCCCTCCCAAATCCGTTTCCACTTGACATGTCAGAATACTTTAAGAAACATTTCTTAAAGTATTTCTGTATATGTGCGGTTTGACTTCCGTTTGACTTCTGGCCCATCGCCATGCTTCATTATCCCAGGGAGGGAGGAGATGTCGCTAAATATGGATCAAAATTGTTCAAATTACTAAATGACATTCACAGAATTTGAAAGTTACTGCAAGGCGTTGGTGAGAAATGGAGGAAAAAATCTAAACGAGTGTTTCCACATAGCATAACAGATACAAAGCTGACGCTAGCTAGCTAGCCGCCTTTTCATTAAATAACATGGCTGGTTAGCTAGCTAGCATTAGAGCCTTCTCGCTAGCCTGTATCTAATGGTTGTTACATTGTGTAACAGAGCAATAGGTCCTGGGCATAAGCAATATAAATGGTCGCTTAGGCCCCTGACCCAAAAAATGGTTAAATAAAAAAACATATTATTTTGGAAACTCAGTTGGGGTCTCAACTAACTGTTGAGAGTTAGAATAGTAGAATACACAAGGTGCAATTTCGAAATTTGGTTGTGCATCTTGTTATGTCAGTCACTGACAGTCACTTAATTAGCCAATGTCATCTAAAAAAAATATATCCATTTTTTAGAAGTTAGTCTAGCCAGCTATATAAACGTGTAGTAATTATGGTCGAATTATCGACCAGGCACCAAGGGCAGGTGAATATTGAGTCAAAAGAAACGCACACCTATTTAGGCGAGGTGCTGGCTAGCGGAGTAGAACACTTGTAAAAGAAAAGGAGAGCCACACACTCTAGGAGCTCAGATACAATAATTTAATAACCTAATAACCAAAGTTTCAACAGACAAGCTGTCTTCATCAGGGTATAATGACAAACACTG